TCTAAAATTGTGAAGGTCATCCTAAAAATAGCTGTCATAGCATAGCCATTGACAGTCCTATAGCTGTTCATGACTGAATACAGTTGAAAAGAGAAATTTGTTCACCAAACACCTAATTTCTTTCATTGTAGCATGTAAATAAGAAACTTAAGGGATATTATGCAACAGTATTTCAGATTTATGCTATTTTGTATTAAATTGAATATTTTGCTTTCTGAATATTATTGACATAACTACAATGGTACTTGGCATTTGATTTTATTATAGCCACATATGAAGTTGGGTTTTCCATAATGCAAATTTGGAACTATATTGACATGACTACTTGAGAGCTGTACTTTACAGAGTAACACACTGGCAAACAACAGTTGTCTCAAGAGAGATTAACCTTGTAAGCACGTTATGCAGGTGATTCAAATCCAGTTAATCTCACATAAAAAAAATGTTAATTGCATTGGCAAAGACATTGCCTCTGATCACTCCACAGTTATATAATTAGAGATCAGCTCATTCAGAAGGCCTCTAATCTAATTGATAAGCAGTCAGCAAACAACCCTTGAGATTTCTCCCCGTTTTTCAATATGCGGTCAGACAAATGTGATAATATGGAAAAATTGGTGACCTTATTTTGATGTGCCTTGAAATTGTTTGCTTGTTCAATAGTTCAAGATTTTCATACATATTCATTTTAACTGTATAGAACTTCATGGGTACAAACTCTAAGGAGCATTAATGGGTTTTGAATGTGATCATCTTACCAACTTACTGGATGGTTCTATTTTCAATTTACTTTCTAATCCCACCAACTTTCCATTTCTTTTCAGATGATTTTGAGACAAAAGGGGATACCAAACACACTCTCTTGTAATTTTTGTAATTTGTGTCTGTAAAGGGCTCGCCTTTGTGTTTGGCTTATGATAACAGTAGCCACTATAAATGCAAAGCATTTAAAAATACATTTTTGGCTTGTACAACTTCTTTGGTCTTTAATACTCATGTTTCTGTTTTCAGCTTTTCTAGGAAAGAACTCTGGTTAAGGAAAATGGAAAACAATTCTTACAAAAAATTTTTCTTCTATTTAAATTAATTTTAGTCAAAGTTATAATTTTTAACATAATTTTTTCTGTAGGCAGTTATGAAAATTGCAAAGCAGGTGTTTAGTATGATAAAAAGAAAACAGTTGAAATAATGAATAGTACAATTTAGAGATAATTGCTAGAAAGGGTGCTATGGAAATTCTTAGAATAATCCTTTAAAATTTGTGACCAAACTTCAATATATCAGTAAATTCTAAAGTTACTTTGTTGGATGGCACAACCTAAGATATCCAGGTATATAACCCATCTTGATGTGTCATGGGTATGCAAGTGACTCTCATATTGGTTATTCTTTACATCTGGTTTTTTCTATTAGTTGAATTACATTTTCCACCATGAGCCAATGTCAGGGTTCCAAAAATTATACCACAAGCTCTCCTGTGGTTATCCAGTTGCTAAGCAACTAGACTCTGCTTGAGGGCAGAAGGAATGAGAGAAGGTTCATTGTGAAGTTCTCCACTCCTGCTGAGCTCATCAGAACAACAGCGGGGGATCCTACATCTTGCTTCTTCTTGAAATTAGAAATCAGGTGCTTCCACATGTCTCCATATAAAACAATGGGGTTTAGAACATGTATGATAACCAAAAAATCTTTAAGGATCCTGATGGTGTCCTTTGGAGAAAAAGACAACTTAATTTTGTGACACGCCTAATGTAAAGTTTGTCCTTCAGATTAATTGTATGTTGCGATTTTGTGACTGGTAGCATGTTAAGGGAGGCATACAAAAACTTTGCCAGAAAATATACATGAATATCTTAATGAAATTAGTCTCACATATTGTTTTGCAATTTATTTTATACTCAGCATAATGTCATGAAAAGTTTACACATTATATAGATGGGTAGCTTTAATAGTCTGATGACTTAATCGTTTTTTAATGTATGAATTTGCCACAGTTTATCCTAAAATCCCTCATTTCCAATACCGCCAGCATTGCTTCAATGACCCTATGTATTTCTTATTTTTGTTGCAACTATCAATTATCAAAGTCATTGTTCTGTATTGTTATGTATTGCAGAGAGTCTGCAAGTAATGGTTATTTTGGTTCTTCTTCAATACTCTCTTTTTCTTGCTGATTACTGATGTTGGCATGTCCATCTTCTTCCTGACTTCAATGGGCATGACTTCAGTATTTTACCTTTTAAAATAATTTTGGCATTTAATTTCTGACCAAATATCTTCATTATGCTTAAGAAGTTTCTTTTGATTCCTTCTTTATTTATATTTTTTAGATCCAAGAGCTATATCTACAGATATGATCATATTTTTCTTTCCCCTACTATTATATAAATAGCCTCCTTTATCTTATTAATTCAGAATTTATTTCGATTCAAGTAAAAGAAATGTGACTAGCAATGGCTTACACATAAAAGGATCACTTTTCTCTTACCTGCCATTTCTGCAATGAAAGGATCTCACACATACACATACACACCCTATATCCACATTGTACCTGTCGATATGTTCCAATTCACTAAATGGAAAGTTGAGATTCTTTCTAGACTTTTGTTTTTCACCCTCCACATTCAATGGATCACCCAGTTTTCATCTCTCTGTCCGCTTTTCCATATCCCCAGAACCACTGTGTCAGTTTAAACTGAAATAATTTCTTACCGTAAACCTTTGACCTAATTCACTGCTTCATATTTCTCTTCTAATTCATCTTTCACTGCTCTGCCAACATGATCTTTTTCATATGCTTATTAAAAATGCTGCTATCTTGCTTAAAATCCTTCAACAGCTCTCCATCACCCTCAAGGCAGAGCTGACTTTCCTGGACACGGGTACAAGGCCCTTCATGCTAGCTTCGCCTCCCACCACTTTTCCGATGTAACGAAGCTGCTGGCTATTCACTAGCCACCAAGATCGAAGCCAGGCGTAGGAGAGGCTGTATGAACATGTGCTGAATGAATGAGTGGAAGACAGAAATGCTTCTCTTTCTCTTTCATCAGCATGCCGGGCTCATGTTAAAATCAGAGTGGGCAGAAAGGGTCTCTTCCTGAAAAATCATTTTTCAATCTCAAGTGATATCAATAGTGGCTTAGCCCTCTTTAACATTTGGTTAATGCACCTTTTAGATGAATTAGATGAATAGCCCCATGTGATAGATAAAACAGAAAAAGTCAGTCCTGCTTTCATAAGCAAATGACTCATTTTTACTGTTAATATTTGGAGCACTCTTAGGATATACTAATGCTATTGCCTGTTTATTGCCAGAAACTACATAGTATCAACAATGCCATCCCTAAAATAGCTATTTGGGGAACATAGTGTCCAGAGTTCAAAAGGATAACACGAAATCATTCCATCCAACATGAAGATTTGTTCTGTTGTCTAGGGGGCACACTTGGAAGCTGAGTAATTCTGACTACCGAAAGTCTTTAGATGCAATCATGTTTTTCTCTAGTTTTTATGTGTTGTTTGTAAATTCTGCATTAAAAAAAACCTTTTCATGATAAAATCCTTTTTGCCATATTTTATGGATTGGGATTTTGAAGTTTCAGAGTACAGGTATGCGAGCATATGCACATCTGTGTTTTGAAGAAAACTATGATCCTTACTGTCAAATTCTCTGTGAAGAGATACAGTTGTCTTCCTTCTGATGACTGGTTTTACAGCAGTAAAAATATTTCTTTTGCAACTAACACATTTGTTTTATAAATATGAATTTTGATTTAGTCAATAAAATTATATACTCTGTCTGTAGTCTTAACATACATTAGTTCAAATGATTTATTTTCTTTGAAGGTTTCCTGCTGAATACGTTTCAGTTTTTGTGCCACTGTATTCAAAATTCTAAATTGGAAGGTTCGAAACTAAAGTCCTAAGTGGCTAAATATAGCCAGATGGCCAGATAAATTGTGTCAACTCCCTATGGAGCTCATATTTCTTTTCCTTGACTTAGTTTTCTTTCTACTTCAATAAGTAGCAATATTGCACCTGCCTATGACTTGGAGATATGTACTAATAAAATTTAAGTGGTAATTTTTCCAGTGTCAGACCTTTACCAGAAAGGGAGGAAACTGGACAAGGAATGGAGGTGTTTAGAGATATATACAACTACTTTTGGTTTTATGTTTCTCTTAGGTGGTAATATTCTTATGGATAGGGATTTATTTTCTTCTTGCTATATGTAAAGGAATGCTGGAATAAAATTTAATAGTGCCACATACAGATTAACAACAACAAAAATAAAGGACAGAAACACCAAAGCAGAATACTGAAGAAATAAAAAAACATAAAAGTTAACTAAAAATGGGTAAATATTTTCACCACTTAGGAGAAGATTATTGGAGACCTTAGAAAATTATGTATGACAGTAAGCAGTTTGGAATAAATAGTAATGACAGTCTCTGTATTTAAGAGAAAGAAAAATCAGGTAGACAACTTGCCATACATGAAGTGAAAATATTCATAACATTTATGTATGAGAGCACCCAATTTTTTAGCATTCTTAATGGAATATTAATATTTGTTTCCTTTTTAATGTTTTCCACTAGTTTTTAGTTTTTCCACTTTGACCCATGATAATAGATTAATCATTTTTAAAAAAATATCTCCTTGTTTCTGTTGAATTCAGTGTTCTGATTTTTTTGTGATAGGATCCACCTCACTTGAAAAATCAATTTAATATTTTTTTCCATAAGGCTGTATGGTTTTATGTACAAACCATAGCTATTCATTCCTGTGTTCCAAAATATTTCAATTTATTTAATTATATTGAATTCATAAGGCCTTATGAAGACATAGTTAAGGTACAGAGTTAGGTACCTATGTACTAAAAATAAATAAATAAAATATTTACTTTGCTTTTTTTTATAATTTACCAACATGATGTTTTATAATTTAAAACATCAACAACATTTCATCTCATTTTACTGTGTGTTTTTTTCCCCCCCAAGAACGACCCACATTTCTCAGGAGGCCAATTAACCAGGTGGTGCTGGAGGAAGAAGCTGTAGAATTTCGCTGTCAGGTCCAGGGAGATCCTCAACCCACTGTGAGGTGGAAAAAGGATGATGCAGATTTGCCAAGAGGAAGGTAAGAATATCATAACCAATAAATAATTAGAAAAGAAAAAGACATCCACAGTTCCACCATGCAACACTCCTGTATGCTGCGGTATTATTTTCACACATAGGATTTTTACATATGCAAGTCATGTGTCTGCTATTTCTAAATTAAAGTACTTTAGGCTCTTGATGTCATTCTTTCAATGAATTTCCACATTACTGCCATCTATTATCCCCAAATACAAGGATTCCTGAGGTGCTTTCTGTCTCATGGTGCTTATAGGTGTGGCATTCTGTTCTTGCTGAATTCTTGGCCACCCATCCCACTTGCCTCCTTCGACAACTGCCCTTTTTCCATGATGCTTCACCCCACACTGGATTTCATCTACCTAAATTGCCCAAAGCATCTCAGACAAAAGGCTGTTGAGTGTAGCTGATTTTAAGGTGTGGAGTAAAAGAAAGATCACACCCAGCACAACACTGAGAAGGCAGCAAGTAGTTACATCACTGTCTACATAGAAAATTTCCCACCAGGGAGCTCCTGTTACTTTTCCCTTTCCAACTCTTCATGGAGACACTTACCTCCTTCTCTTCCTTATTCTTATCACCAAACTCTAAAACCCAATCTCTCAGGTCTTGTCATCTTTGATAAGAATAATTTTAATTCTATTGTTGTTTAAATTTTCCTTTGTAAGACCTTGCTTTTTAGAGTCAAATAAGTCATTCACGTGTTTTTTTTTTTTCCCTATACAAGAACAATTCTATCTTTAAGGTTTGTTTTGGTTTCCTCCTATTCTTGTCTACTGAAACTGCAGCCATCACACCTTCTACAGTTATTGTCTGCATAAAATTGCGCATTCTGCTTTTTTTCTAATTTTTGTTTGTTTATTTGCTTTTTGTTTTTGTCACTTTGCTGCTAGATATCTAGCTTTAAAGAAATGTCATTGTCTGGAGAGGTTTGTGAATGTGAGGGTCCTCATGTCTTCTCAGGGGAGAAGCTGTTAAAAAGCAAGGAGAGTTTACATAATTGAGTTGTGTTAGTGCCCATCTTCTCTGGACAGTTGACAACTTTCTTCAAATCTGAGAGCACATAATGGATAATTTTAAATATTGATGCAAGATTAAGAGATTAATTATATAGTAAAAGTTATCCTATTGTAGACAAAGGTTAATTTTCAGTTATTGGGAGTATATAGCCTTGTTCACTAAAGGAAAAAAAATAACTTTAATTTTAAAATAATTTTGGATTCACAGGAAAGTTACAGAGTTAGTATAGAGAGTTCCTGTGCACCCTGCACCCAGTTTCCCCTATAGTTAACATCTTTCATGACTATGAAACATTTGTCACAACTAATGAAAAAATGATGATACATAATAATTAAATAAAGTTTAGACATTATTTGGATTTCACCAGTTTTTCATTAATTAATTTCTGTTGTAGGATCCAATCTAGGGTTTTTATCTAGTTGGGTATCATAGGCTATTGCATTTAGTGTGTTTCCTCAGTCTCTTCTGGTCTGTGACAGGTTCTCAGTGTTTACTAGTTTTATGACCTTGAAAATCTTGAAGAGAAGAACTGGCCAGGTAAATTATAGAATGTCTCCCAAGCCAGGATCTGTGTAGCATTTTCTCATAATGAGACTGGGCTCATGGGTTTTTAGGAAGAATGCCACAAAGCTGAAGTGTTCTTCTCATTACAGTGTACTGGGGACATGTGGTAGTCACATCAGAGCACTAGGATCCTGTCAATTTTTAAACATTAAACAAGATCAAATTGGAAAAAGATTCAGAAATAGAAATTAGTGTGAATATGTTGCATTTTAACTTGTCTATGTTTTTGAATTATGATAAAATAAAACTTATTCACGACTAGTTTGATTTTTCCCAGTTTATTGTAGGTGTTAGCTCCAAACCTGACAAATGTAGCTACTGCACTCTTCTCCAGATATTGCCAAATTCATTTGCTTCAAAGTTTAAACAATACATGCAAATCAAACAACAGCATTAATACTAAACTTTTACAGTGTATGATATCAAGGCCTCTAAAGACAATGTTGAAATTTTGAGAAATCTTATCTCCACTAACTTCCTTTAAAACATTTTCAATGCTTTTGTCTCTTTATTCTTCTATTACTGGCATGATACTACTGCAGTACTTTGCATAACCAGCTAAATATTTTTAAAGTATTAAGCAAATGGAAGTGCTGTGTAAGCTTTAAATTGTTGTGTTAGAAAGGCTTAAAGCAAGGATCAGTGCAATATAAAAATTTAGGTCAGTATTTTTATCATGATAGAAGCCATGCATTTTTTCTTGAATTCCCAATCTTTAAATGGTATTTCAAAGAAGCTTATTCATTCTTGGATTTTTTTTATGTATTAGCATAAGCTTCACTTATGCATAATGAGGGGGAAAGAGACCTCTTTACTTGGGAACGAATAACAGTACTCTTAGCTAACCATAGACTAAATCAACAACATCGATTCTATTACATTATTTAGGTCTCAGATTAGGGAAATAGCCATTGTTCTTGTATAAGCAATTGGTGTGGAGGATGACATTTCTTTGGCTTAACATTAAGTGAAATTTGAATAAGGTTTGTGTAGTGGTTCATGCTTAACACATTTATAGTAAAGCTTTGCAGGGCAGCTGCATAGCCTGTAATTACTATGTAAGTAATATGTGACTGTTTTTTTCTTTTGGAGGCAAGAAAAGCTTTTCAGTTCAAGTTTAAATTTATGAAATGCTGTGATAACTATTTAAACCTTCAACACAGAAGAAGGTATCTGTGCCAACCTTTCAGTTTCCAGAGATTATTTAAGGGAGTATTTCTTCTCTTGCCATGAAAATGATGTTTAAGTAATGCCCATGTGCCTCTTTCTTTATTTAGCTCCTGACCTTTCTCAGTAACTACCTTTAATGAAATTACACTCTTGGTGAGTTGTATTAAAAACATTTTTTAACTAGATGAATGTTTTGATGAGGTAGGAAACATAGCAGGTCTAACAGTAACCCTTATGCCCAACCAGAGAAAAGTTATTTATGTGGATACTTGCATATGAAAAGGGACAAAATAAGAAGGAGGACAAAATTTAAAGGATACTTGCATATGAAAAGGGACAAAATAAGAAGGAGGCTTTACCTTATACATGCTACTGTCAATTTTTCTTTCTTTCTTTCTTCTTTTTTTTTTTTTTTTTAAAGATGTCCGGTAAGGGGATCTTAACCCTTGACTTGGTGTTGTCAGCCCGGCGTTCTACCAAGTGAGCTAACCAGTCATCCCTATATAGGGATTCAAACCTGTGGCCTTGGTTTATCAGCACCACACTCTGCCAAGTGAGCCATGGGCCAGTGCCTCTACTGTCAAATGTTAATTCCTTGCAGAATCTTCTGAAGATGTTACTATTTTACAAGTGATTATCTGAGGAAGAAAAAAAAAAAGACACTACTTTTTTTGGTGACTGTGCCAAGTATATATTTTTTCTAAAAGGACTCAATACATATGTGTTCAAATACATGAATACTGACCCGTCTATCAGGGACAAGAATTTTATACGCTAATATGAAAATAAAGTAATTAGGCGGAACAAGACGGGCAGGGGCATTTTATAGTCTATAATGTTTATGTTTTTTAAAAGCACAATTTTTTAAAAGCAGAATTTAAATAGCAAAAATGCATTTTCAGGTTTACCTACATTTATTAAGTGCCTACTCTATTTATATTGCTTGTTATTAGTTTGTAAAAATAAGTCATATTAAGCTAGGTAAATCTACTGTTATTGATTCTTTTCTTTTTTAATTTTATGTCAAGATTCAGCAGCATAGGAAAGTATTTACACACTGAATACATTAAAGAAAATAAACTGAAGTATCCTTAGTTTCTTCCATGGGTTCTTAGGCAAATTTAACATTTTTTTTTGCATGTTAGTACTCTTTTGATGATCAAGTGCCTTCAACACATCTTCACAAAGTGTTTTATGTGATAGAAGCTGTATGTATTATAAATGAGACAGTGCTGCATTTTCTGCCATGTTCCATCATACCATAAGCATACTGTATATTTTGTTATACCAAAATATACATGTATATTTTGTTATGAGCTGAAGCTCTATGAAAAATATCATGCATTAACACAAAGAAACAAAATATAAAAAATTTCCAAAGAAAGAAATAAAAATACAATTGAAATATACCAATACTATAGTATTCTGTTTAATCTAATATTGGTGAAAAGTATTAAAAAATCCCTCAGAATTTGGATAAGAAGTATGGTGATTAATCTATGATTCCCTATCTGGGCGTGTTAGCAGAGTCTGTGTTTTGGTTTATTATTAGCAATCTTTCAAGAACAGTAAACAGGAGATTTAACATCCTTCATCATTCGTGATTTTCAGCATATCACCATTAGTTAGCTCCACTATCTTTTCTATTCCATTTTTATTTACTTTCTAAACTAACTCTAAAGTGACACTAACTTTCTCAATAAGGATCTACAGTAGAAAAAGGAATGTTCATAATAGCTTGTCAGAGAGAAAAAAAGACATAAAATATGCCATTTACATTCTTATGTATGCCTGCAAATTCTAAATGCAGTTGATGGCTTGCACATAGTGGATATAATTCATGAATATTTCATAAAAATTGAAAAGAGACTAGAGAATAAGAGTTTCAAGATATAAATGGATAGAGCAAAATTCTATCAATTTTCCTAAGTTCAACAGCAAATTTCTTTCTCTAAAGTGAAAGTCTATTTTAAGAGAGACTTTTTAGAGTTTAGGTCCATTAAATGTAAGATACACAGAAATACATGATTCCTTAAGAAAAGAAACTGAATAGGACCACTTATAATTCCTTCTTTGCAGCATTTTTTTACAAAGAGGCTTATTCCATTTAGCCCTGGAAAATGTTCTTGTATTAATTGTTTGGAAGCTCCATTGTTTAGAGCATGTGCTTCTGGGATGCAGAGATTCTGAACAGGTGCTCAGCTACCCTGCTGAGGAGATCAGCCTTCCTCACATATAGTGTGTGCT